AAACGATAAAATTAGGTTCTAACAGCATTTGAGGTTAAAGGATAGAAAGAATGGTGTGTCTCATGTATCTATTTTTATTCGTTTCTTCTTTTTTGTTACTTTGACTATAAATGACATCTGAAAAAGAGTCGATTTGTCGTCTTAACTGAGTGCGAAAACTAGCAGCGATAAAGTCTGCCATATGCTGGAAGTGATCTTATGGCCTGTCAATTTCACATGTCGATACATGCATTCACATATACCCACATTCTCATTTCTTCGCTAGTGCCAAGCTCCTTAATGCTGGACATTCAAACATCCCAACATACACTAATTCACATATCCACTCATTCCCTTCCAACTTTCAGGCACGCCTGGTTTCTTCTCTTCTTTTCTCAATCGTTGACTCACTACTCACAGACGAGCGCCATCCGGATCTCCGTATTTCTGCGATTCGAGTTCTGGCCTGTCTTGCCTGTCGGATGTCGGACAAAGACAAATTGCCGCAGCTAGTCCACCGTCTGGATCAGCTTCTTTCAACTTGTAGCACTTCGACGAGACATTCGCTTCATCAATTACCCGGCTCGTCTCCGCATCAACATCGTCTTCTTGACTCTAGACTTACCGATCAAGTTGGCAAGAATGTCTCATCGTCTCATGGCAATCTGGCCGACCAACCGTCTGGATCGTCGGGCAGACTTCGATATTTGGGATGCTCTCTTTTTCTTGAACGATCATGCCAAAGAGCAGCGCGAGACTGGCTTCTGCCCACCGTTGCGCATTGGTGCTTGGAGGCGAGTTGTTTGCATACTGTGCTGCTGTCCATGTGGCTCGGTCGACTTCTTCCAGTCTCTTCCAAAAAACAGACGGTAAGGGTAATCTCTTTAAAATTGCCATTTAGGCATACTTTTTAGAGTTTGGAGCCTTACAAGCAAATGTTGATTATCGTCGGTATGGAATAGGTAAACTTTGAATATGTCCATATTCCATGAGATATTTGGCATAATTGTTGGTGGGAAAAGCACGTATTTTACAAGAAACTATCGAATTCGCCATTCTTAGACTATGAAATAATAGCTGAAAAGAGTGAGCATCAATCAGCTACATAAAATCCAGGTATACATAATTGATTCCAAAGAAAAGCAATTCGGTGAATATTTTTTTACAAATCATACATGCAAAAAACACTGTCATGTTTACATATATGATGGCGCAGGACTCAATTTTGTATTCATTTGGATTTTATACCTTCAACTCCTTATTTAATGGATATACTTTATGAAATACGATAATTTGCACTAAGCGATTGGTGAGACAGGCATCCAAGCGAATGATAATGTCCATCTTTGTAATGACAGTAAGTTTAAAGGAAGATAGTACTTTTGCTGCTCTATAAGTGCATTCAAGTACTAAATATCTCAAGAGAAATATTTACTTATTTTTATGGCCGCCTGAATTTTTGAAACCCTTCATAGTCAACGCGAATGACATTAGGGGAAAGATCACTTACCTTGAAATGAATCACTTTAAATAAGGCCTTAATTTAATAATAATAATAATAATCGTACTTACCAGAATATTAATTCACCCATGATATTTCCTTTTAATTCGCCT